TGATGCTCCATGTGATGCTCCGCTAAATTACATCGTCATTTGAACAATACGGTAGCTTTTTTCGTCGTGGTATAGTGTCATACACCAATACCTCTAATAGACTTTGTACCCCAAGGGCGAAAACACGCTTGACAATGTGAAACCAGATCTAGCCGACGAGTACGAACATAGAACTATCACGGCAAATTGTTGGTAGCATTGGTCTTTGCCAAAGCACAGTAAGTTGCCTTATTATTTTCGACATTCTTCTTTTCGATAAGTGCGCAGTCAAAAATTAGTTTTGTTTACAAATTTCGAACAAAGTGTCGTAAATCTGAACATGCTTCGTCAATAAATATGGCTTACATCATTCGTAAACATATAGGCTGCTGCATGACGTAGGCGCAATACCTTTGGGCGAACGCGGTTTTATTAGCCGCACAGCGCTGAGGCGCAGGATTCACAACGGTAAGATAAGCGCGCGCCGCGTTCGCACCCGCTCAATTGGAACTGCTTCTGCGCCTTCGTCATGCAGTAGTCTTTACCACTATGGCCGTACGCTCATAGTTATAAAAGAACAGATCCACTTGTAAGCAGATCCCGGCACGTTGATTTGAGCATTTTTGGAAACGAAATCCCCTATGACTTGGCAAAATTTTATAAAGTTTCTTTGACGTCAGAATTAGTAGCGAAGCCCCTATTTGATCAACACAATAAAAAGCGAACAAAGCGTATTTTGAGTACCTAATATAACAAAGAAACAGAAAAACATCTTTTGAGTTGAGCACAAGCTCTATTCTTGAGATGGTACCAGTTTTTATCAGGTCTTGAACCTCCTAAGCCAACCAAATTTGTAGCCTCAACAATTTGGCGGTGCATTTTTCGCCACACAGTTTAAAGGACGCCGCATGTGATTGGAGCGCGATTTCTACCAATGCTTAGGCTTATGCTGATTTTGGCCCAAAAAAAGAGGGGAGGCAATGGTTTGATTCGCTCTGTTCACTATATGGTAGATTTTTAGGTACTTTTCCGTTATCAATCCATTTATCTAAGGAAGATATTGATTCTATCCTTGTATACACATTTCATGACATGCAAAGACTGGGCGCCGTTGCGTCCAACCAGGATATTTCGCGCACTGAAGAAACAGCAGATGGTAAAAGAAACGAAAGAGCGCTGATCAGAGAGACGCCGATAGGTCCGCAGTCTCTGCGTGCTACGAACCTCCTATACCATACTTCGTCCCAGCTTCACAAGAAGAAGTGTCAACCTTCCGCCACGTGTCAAAAAAATTTGACATTTTATCTACATGTTTAACATTACCAAGAGTGTGTTACCCTACCTAGCGATGTAAGTTCAACATGTTTTTTAGTTAATTTTGACCTCATTTCAACCTACAGTTTCAAAGTGAACATCGTTATAATAATAACAACGTACTATCATCGATGAACAGATTAGATCTGCCCAGGTTAGAGAAGTGCGCTTTACTCCATGATTTAAAAAACGGAATAAGCAGCAGTAAGGTACTACAAGCTATAATTTGTAGTCTTTTCGGCTAAATTCGCATGGCGAAAAGGGTTTGAGGAGAAATATATTTTTGGACGCTGTTGAAGGCAAGCAAGACGTTTTAGAATAAGTTCCTGATTGTTTTGCGCTTACGTGAAACAGTTAGACAGCACCAAAATGATCACAAATTCTCTTTTACTCACCGGAAATGATTTCGAAAAAACATGTCAAAATGGAGCAAAACGCGTGAATTTTTTTGTGACACGTGGCAAGGAGGCAGTTCTCATAGAATCTATGAAAAAATTATTCTTAGACTAAAGAACGTATAATATGAGAGCTTTTTGAAAAAGATGTGTCCGAATAACGGAAAAGTGCCGATTTTTAGGCGTTTCAATCGTTCAGATAAGGTCCAAAACTTATGTGAAAACTCTGCAATATTTATGCTCCGAAACTCCGTTGGTTCGGTGCTGGTCTAGAAAGCAAAATTCGGGAACAGGGATTAGGACAGACAAGCTTTTGAGTTTTACATACTGTTGTTTGGAGTAATATTCTGTGCTCATAGCCCAAATTCAGTGCCATGTGATTGCTTGTGCGGTGAAAGCAAGCCATTTGTTTGTTTGAGTCTTGCGTTTGAAATTTGCGCGCTTGCGAAAGAACGCGTTCATCTCGTGAAACCCGACATGTTTGTCGATTTGTTCGAGGCTCCTTCCTAGACCTAACAAAAACAGCATTGCTTCTACCCCAGAAACGAAATCCAATTTGACCCCAGACCATCTGTGTCGAATCGATGTGTCGATCTTGTAAGACAACGCGTGATTATGCTTGTCATGGTTGTTCACAATTTCTGAGGCGCACTGTATGTAAAAAAATTTGACGTGTTTGCATCAGCTTATAAAGCTATATAAATGTGGAGCGGGATTTCGATTTATAGACATCTGGCATTGCCAAACGAATGGCAATCGCTTTTGGCAAAATCGCTCAAGGTATGTCCGATGCCTAAGCTTTAGTAGACCAATTCATGCAGCTTTGGATTCCTAACACTAAGTCTTCACGGATCGATTCTGTTTCCCGAGGCTGCGCTCAAATAGATTTTAAGTTGGCTGCCACCAAAATCATTACCCGGACCCGCTAGATTGGTTGCGCATCCAGTGCGTTAATGGCAAGAAATATAGTGCGTTGTGGTGGTACTGGTACCTACAAAACCCTTGCAAAACGTGCATATTGGGGACCGTGGGCCATAGTTTTGAAGTGAATGTAGGCCTCGCACCGTAATGCTGTCGGGGCCCCGCGCATGGCCGCTATCGCGACACCGCCGGTTTAAGCCGGAACGAAGGCGGAAAAGGAATTTGCCATGAGCGTATAAACAAGTGATATGCATGCAATTTGAGATCTTGTTTTACGCATGGAACCAATGCCATGGTCATGCCATCAGTGTTTAGCACCGATATTCATGATGGAATATGGCATTTAGACTACCCTCCATGTATTCTTAGCACTATGCTTTTATCGACTACTCAGGCAACACTGGAACTTCCGCGGAAGGTTGGGGAAGTTCCGCGAGGTAACCTGCTGAAGTTCTGTGAACGTGCTGGGGAAGTTCCCAAATGAGGTGCTGCGGAAGTTCCAAAAATGCGAATCACAACAGCAAAATAGAATACCTAAGCAAGGTTTGAATGTCTTGAATGTATTTTGAATGATCTGAATGTACTCTATTGACTGCGAGGCTCACGTACTATCCTCTGCAGCACGAATGACATGTTCGACAATGCACTCTAATTGTTGATGAGTCATCATCCTGAGAGACAACATATTCGAAAACCTGAAGTACTGGCATGTCAAAGTACTGCAGAACCCCTGGCATTTTTCGGAAGTTCCGCAGCGCTTTGTAGCAAGACTTTCGGAAATCCCCATTTCTAACGTTTCCACTTTTGCAGTATAAACAAAATCCTGCGAAACTGCTGCAAACTTTGTTTGTCCTGCGGAAGTTTCGGTGAGTTGTCTGAGTACTTCTTCTCTGCTGATTACTCCCAAAATTGTACAGATATGTTCAGTTGTTGCAATTTATTTTTTTTTACTGCATTCTTGGTAATCCTATGCTCAAAGCTTATACAGTACAAAGGTGAGTGCGTTCTTGTCAATAGTTAACATGAGATGCAAGTGGTTTATGGACTGGCTCATTCACTGTGCGTCAACAGCAAGTGATACGCTTTTGATTTTGCTGCGCTTCCAGACGTGTGACAACTCTGTGCGCAGCAGAATCATTTGTCAATAGTCTACCTCATTTGCACATCAGTCTCTAGGCATTGGTCCACAACAACAATGAATTATAACTTATTGCTGAATAAGAGGGGGGACGGAACTTAGGAACCCGAACCTAATGGGGGACGGAACTTAGGAACCCGAGCCTAATTAGCTCGATTCGGGGAGTGCCTGCAGGTTACAGTCATGCTCGCTGGCTCCGATTATTCACTAGAACATAGCAACAATCTAAGCCCCGCCCCCTTGAGAGCCTGTATGGAACCTAGCCAAGGAATGCTGAAAATCTCAATTGAATTTCAGGGCTGGCTCTAAGCCAAAAACCTTCAAAGTGATCGTGCGAAGGTGAAATTAGGCTCAAACGAAAGAGAAAAACAGTGCCATCATCATAAAGCATCTACTGAATTGAACTGATTGAACACAACATTTTCTTGGTTCAAAACTTTATTCAAGTGTTAAATTACTGAGAAATTATTCAAAAAACCGTCAAGTTTCAGAAGAAATTTATTTGAGTGCTAAATCCTAGCAAAAAACTGGAATGACATGAGAGAAATGACAGTTTAAAAACTTCTCAAGATTGATATTTATTTGCTGAAATGCTGAAATTTAGGCGAAAGACTAGGAAATCAATTGCGAAACGACAGTTTATAAATTCTCAAAAATAAAAGTTTGTTTGTGTGCGAAAGTCTGGGCAAAAGACTAGAATATCAAGAAATGAAAAATCAAGAACTTCACTAATGATATTGCTGAGTCTGTCAACGACGGACGATTCTGATGTGCGAAGAACATCCTGCTAACATGCTGGAAGCAATGACCTCAACCTACGCAAGGAAAGGTTGCAATAACAGCTTGAGGCGAAATTTCCCTTATAAATAGAAGCCCTTTAGGGTGAAAACCATTTATCGTTACTATCGATATCTCAACTTCCCATGTCTTACGACGATTATTTTTTATTCCCACATGCAGCATCGCTGCAACAATTTTATTCATCGGCAAACCCCAATTCTGTTCCTGCACTAAATTGGGAGCCTCAGGTGATTTTGATGAGATCAGCTCAAATTAAAAATAAATTTATACATTTCAGCCGTTGTACACTTCGTCCGCTGGCTTGAGCGAGCAGTCCTATTCTGATATTTTACCGAATGCTATTCGACCGCGACCACTACAAACTACTTTTTATCCTAAAATTAATTAAAATGCTACACAAAAGGAGACCTTACATACTCAAGATGCTGATATATCGAATACTGTGCCGTCGATCATTTCAAGCTTACCTCAACAGTTTGCAACGAGTACGTTTGGAGGCTTGGAGTGATATCGGAAACTTGAGTATGCAACGTTTCCGTTAGGGTAATATTTGGATTGATTTCAGTGTCAAAAGAAGGCTGTGATGCCGCAGGCACATTATTAGGTATAATATCAGAATCTTGAGTATGTAACGTCCTTTGGATGATATCCGGATTGGTTTCAGGATAGAGAGAAATCCGCGTTGCCGTTGGCACAGTATTCGATATATCAGTATCTTGAGTATGTAAGGTCTCCGTTTGTGTAGCATTTGAATTAATTTCAGGATAAAAAGTAGTTTGTAGTGGTCGCGGTTGAATAGCATTCGGTAAAATATCAGAATAGTACTGCTCGCTCAAGCCAGCGGACGAAGTGTACAACGGCTGAAATGTATAAATTCATTTTTAACTTGAGCTGATCTTATCAAAATCACCTGAAGCTCCCAATTTAGTGCAGGAACAGAATTGGGATCTGCCGATGAATAAAATTGTTGCAGCAGATGCTGCATGTGGGAATAAAAATAATCGTCGTAAGACATGGGAAGTTGAGATATCGATAGTAACGATGAATGGTTTTCACCCTAAAGGGCTTCTATTTATAAGGAAAATTTCGCCTCAAGCTGTTATTGCAACCTTTCCTTGGTGTGTGTTGAGGTTATTGCTTCCAGCATATTAGCAGGATGTTCTTCGCACATCAGAATCGTCCGTCGTTGACAGACTCAGCAATATCATCAGTGAAGTTCTTGATTTTTCATTTCTTGATATTCTAGTCTTTTGCCCAGACTTTCGCACACAAACAGACTTTTATTTTTGAGAATTTATAAACTGTCGTTTCGCAATTGATTTCCTAGTCTTTCGCCTAAATTTCAGCATTTCAGCAAATAACTATCAATCTTGAGAAGTTTTTAAACTGTCATTTCTCTAATGTTATTCCAGTTTTTTGCTAGGATTTAGCACTCTAAATTTCTTCTGAAACTTGACGGTTTTTTGAATAATTTCTCAGTAATTTAACACTTGAATAAAGTTTTGGACCAAGAAAATGTTGTGTTCAATCAGTTCAATTTAGTAGCTGCTTTATGATGATGGCACGGTTTTTCTCTTTCGTTTGAGCCTAATTTCACCTTCGCACGATCACTTTGAAGGTTTTTAGCTTAGAGCCAGCCCTGAAATTCAATTGAGATTTTCAGCATTCCTTGGCTAGGTTCCAAACAGGCTCTCAAGGGGGCGGGGCTTAGATTGTTGCTATGTCCTAGTGAGTAATCGGGGCCAGCGAGCATGACTGTAACCTGCAGGCACTTCCCGAATCGAGCTATTAGGCTCGGGTTCCTAAGTTCCGTCCCCCATTAGGTTCGGGTTCCTAAGTTCCCGCACCCGAATAAGAGTAGTAATTACAGATAAAGGTCAAGCTAATCAAAAACAATTGCCCAATAGCAGTCATAGTATTGTAGCAACAGAACGTATGGGAGAGCACAACAATATCTTATTTTCCTATCGAAAAATTACAATTATAAGGATGCGGAACTACCCTGTGGCTATCATAATACACCGCTGAGCATGATTTTCGCCATATCAAAGCCCTTAGTTGGACATGTACTTTATTAAAAACCAAATTTTTTGATATGAAACTGCCGGATACAGGATGTCTGTCCCAAAAAAGGGCACACTGTTTAATCGTTGACCTTGCTTTGATGTCTTTCGCTCTTTGGGTAACAATTGATTCAACTTTGGCATTTGGCTCTTCGCGAATGCGGGGCTCCGTGACCTAATTGAGGCTAGCTAGTGATCAGAGAGCACTCGCGCGTGAGAAAGCAGGTGCGTCGCGGGCGCGAGCAACCTTAATTACTTCACAAGGCCCCGCCTTTCGGAGCCAAGCCAGTTGAATCAAAGGCTAGATACCATTCTGTAAACCTCGCTTCAATCTAGACTTACAGTATGAAGCAAAATTATCTCCCTTACCATAGGAATACGATGAATACGGTAGGAACTTTGAAGAGGGTTTTGAGCCATAAGAGCCGCATTTCGCCCGGAAAGGAAACCAAACAAGCCAAAATCTTCTATATAGGGCATTCGAATAATCGTGACGATAGCGCGACCGCGCGCGACATGCACGCACCTCCTAGCAACAACAGTGCCTAGGTTTTCATCTACTCGAGTGGTTTTTCTGCTTAAGTATGACAGTATATAGACATTGGAAGAGACTGAGCTAAAAGTTGAGGTGATGCCTTTTTGTATGAGTGTTTTCTGCTCCTGTGGGCGCAAAGAACGCAGTCATCCATCGTCACGATTTTACAAACGACCTATATCAGGCTAATCAGAGTCGCTGATTACAGATATGCAATTTGCACACCACGATCATGCTTCCTTCATAAGTTGATTCAGGGAAATTGTAACAACTGCTTTTCCATTGTGCTTTGAAAATCTGATTACAGCTCTGAAAAGGTCCAAAATATATGTAAGAAGTTGCATAATAAAATCAGCATACTTAAAAACCCTGCTACACAAATCTCCAAAGTTTTTCGGAATTTTTTTTTATCGAACGGCCTGATTCACAATGGCATGTGTGAAAATTCATGGTGTAATCCTACAGTAGCAGAAAAAGATCGGAGATTCGCTTTATTCTGTGAATCTAACTTGAGCCTCGCTCTACAGAACGGTACTAAACATCGGCGAGAGGCATCGAAGCAAGCGAGTTATTGACGATGAAACTGTGTGCACACTTTTTTTGGCACACCCTGTAATGCGGACGATAATATCAAACGCAAACACGAAAAGAGGCCATGGAAGTTTGAGATAGTAGTAACTATAGATCGAATGAATACGCCAGAGTTCAGCGTCTCAGGCGATTGAGCCTCGTTAGCCACACCAGAAGAAGTTTAAAGAAGTGAAATTTTAGATGTGAGGCTTGTCATGAAATTCGAAATGCACGTGAATAGCCTACATTGTCAGACTCTGAATTCTTTTTTGTTGAAAAAGTGCGTCATATATTTTCGAAGCGGCCCACCAGCATTTTACACAATGGGGAATTCGTGTGTCATCTGGTGCTGCAGTTACACTAGGCATAGTGCATACTGATTATTTCCTATTATGAGGGAAACAGATGTAGTTAGGTCAAAGCAGTGAGTTCGGATATCCTATGACTGAATGAAATGAGCATGTAAGTCCCATTTGTTTTCTTCATTTTTCAACAAGAAACTGCCAATACACGATGAGTCGAAATTCGTAGAGTATCATCCCCTGAGCTATGTACAAGCTACTACGTTGTACTTTGAAAATAAACCTCGGTGTTTCTTTTCTCCATGCTTATGCTTCTAGAACTCACTATAACAACATACTGCGATGACATTAGACCAAACACAATAATTTTTATCGATTCGATGAGCAATCTGAAGCGATAGAATTTGAAGGAGAAGTCTGTAAGTCAGCGGAAAAACAATAAAAACCCGTATTAGCTGACTGGCAAAATGACTCTATAGGACTATGGCCTAATCATTGTTTGATCTACGATCCCTCAGAATTTGCTAAATTTAAGCTGAGCTGTGATCGCATTGTGGGTCATCCGGTGTAGCGAGCATCCATGGACATTTCAAGTTCATTTGGCCACAAGGGTTGTGTCCCACTGCGCAGTACCTGTAAGAAAAGAATACAAATTGATCCGATATGGCGGTAAGTGACTAACCATTCATGGTAGAAGAACAGATACATCGTTATGAAGAGAACAGAAACGTAGAAGACCAAAGAAATTATCTCAAGTCGTCGGATTACAGTTTGCCATTTGCTATGAAGGTCATTCAACGGCTTCAAGTTCACGACTTCTTCTCTTTAAGGACAAAACTTTCAGCTCCAGTTCTCGAAAGTACATTGAAATTGAGCTTACCGAATCCCTAACACACTCTTCTCGATTCTTCCGACGCATGAGATAATGTCTTCGAGGACTTGTTCGAAGTATTGATACAGCACCATGTTATCGTATTGGGTGATGCTGAGACGTCGGCGAAGATTTTCACGTGGTGGAGTCTCTTCCTGAATTGCAGTAGTTCAAACTTATTGCCAAGAATTGTACGAAAAAAAAAAGAACATCTATAGCATTTTTTTGCTTTCACAAGCGCTACCTCAAGCCCCCTCCCCACTCTTCAAGTGAGTTGCAAGATTTTAAGCTGGAAATTTCCAAACCGAAAATTTTTCTATGAGTTTGATCACTATCGTACCTGACTCGGTGAAAAGGTCCCAAAACGCAAAAAGAGTGTGATATTTGTAATTAAATGCTGGAATATCTCTCTAGACAAAGTTTTGGCCATTTTGGAAATTTAGGCCATCTATGTGGTCAAGCTGAGGTGCCAAACGACCTTTTAGGCGAACTTTCAAGCAAATGGTAAATTTGAGATTTTGTCCCCTACCGTACACCTATCGTAACCACACCGGAGACGTTCTCATGCGGAGAAATGTATATATTTGTGATAGCATATGAGATGAGCGCCTTGGACCAAGGAGCCAAATCCACGACAAGGAAATTTTGGACCGGATAGTCAACACAGCCAAACATAGCTTCTTTTCTTTGCTTTATTTTCTCTTTGTGCACACCCTGCGTGTACTAAATAATTAAATGAATATTATAAAGCGCCGAAAGATCTTCTTGCTCTCTCATCCCGCATAGCCGAGTCAAGCGTTTCTTCCAACTTCAAAATACCCTTTTTATTCACATGCCAAAAAGCAAAAGAATTACGTAGCAACAAAAGCCACACTTAAACTTGACTCGACTACGCAGCAACAAATCCAAAAATATTTTCGAAATATAAATCCCATTTTGCAGTTGGAATGAACGCATCGATTCGACTATACCTGTGGCGGTTGTTGAGCTGAATTATCTAGTTGATAGACATTGTTCACGATTGGTCGACGAATGAGGGCCAATAGCGAAACGGCCACGCCTCTTGCTTTATCTTGTAGTCCAGTACGGACATGGCCGTTTGAGAGAAGATGGTCCTGTAGGGAAAGGTTTGTTGCAAGTAAGCAAGAAATTATTTCAGCCCATTTTTTCAACGAAAACATAGAATACGAATATTCCTTTGCTCTGCTGACTCTTTTTCAGAACTTCATGAAAATCAAATTAAAAGTTTCGAGGAAGTATATGGCTTCAATTACCTCTGCTTGTGGATCCTGTACATGTCTACGGTAGTTGCTGTGAGCCCTAAAGAAATAATTTATACATTATTCAACGCAACACCGTACGTCCCAGTCTTAGGATCCGAAATGGATCCGGATCCGAAGAGAAAGTATGGACACACTCTTAAACAACTTTCACTGGTAAAACCCGCACATACCTTGACATTCTTCGTCTATGCACATCAAATCCTAGCCATTCCAGATACCATGGAACTTCATGCTTGATGCGAACATCTCTTTCCAAAAACACGAACATTGAAGTGGTGACAGTTGAAAGACCAATAATCGCAAGGAGAATAAAATAGTACAAGCCTGAATAAATTCTTTGAGATAAAAATAATAGAAAGTTTCTCTTTTACCTATCAAGGGAATCCCAGAAAATGATCCACGTCCTTTTCGATTCGTAGACATGCTGAATTTTGGCATGTCTTCCACAATGGCCAACAGAATGACGGACATACTCATCAGTGTCATGATACCGAGACGGAATTTCGCATCTCTAAAAACCAATAAATTTACTGCACAATAACAGAGAAAAGAAAGCGAACACCGAAAAATTAAACATGCACTTAAAACTGAATATTTCAACTATCAATTCAGTCCCATCCCTTAAAAAGTTCCCGAATTTTCGCAGTAGTTCCCCTAGTTTTTCTAGTTATGAAGTCACATAACACTGAGTCAAGAGTTGCAGGTAGCGAAGTATGCGCAAAAAAATTGTCTGAAAATTATAGAACGTTTTCTCGAAACGAGCTCTGACAATCATAACCAGATTCGCACAACAATCAATACATTATCTTTGACGCAGCAAGACAAATATCATTTTTATAATCGATTTTTATATCTAGCATAGAAAGAAAGAAATGAATTCACTGGGTGATTGAAAATATGATGCCCTAGCAGAAAAATCAATAAAAAGTCGAAATTCCCCAGAAATTTTTTTCAGGACTCTATGAGACCAAGATGACGTTTGATGTCAAGGCTCCCATTCGCGCAGATGTTATAAGATTTGATGGACAACGTCACTCAAATGATGTGATTCTGAACTCTGGAATCTTTCGAACTCCTCAAAAACCAGGTTCACCAAAAACAACTAAAAAACTGCTTTTTTAGAAGTATAAACCATTAATGAAGTTGAAATAAATTTATGAGGTATTAAGCTCCCTACTAATGGACAATACCTAAAAGTCAGATATTGTTTTCACAAATTTCTATGAAACGGGAGGGAATTTTCCTTCATTTCAAAATTCTAAACTTATTAATTAAAAGAGACCAGCGAAAACGTTTACCTCATTCGGCCGCTGGTGCTTGGCGTATGAAAACCAATTACTGCTACCAAGGTGATTATCGTACTCGGGATGACAAGATTGAAAACTGAAAATACGTAAAAAAATGGGCTGACAAAATTGAAAAATAAAAATAAAAATCGATTATTTTTAGCAAAAAAACTGTCTACACTTGTCAAAAACGACCTAAGTTATCCGTTTGTGCCAAAACTGGTATATTCAATCGCCTCTTACTCGTTACAAATCTACAATCAAGTACAGTACACCTACCGTAATAGAAACTCTGTCGCTCCACAACTAAGTCGATAATGATCATCTCCCAGAAAAGTGGAGGATCCAAATAGTCATACAGAAACCCATCCGACTTTACGGTACTACGGACCTGAAGTGGAGTGGAATTACTTAATCTCACACAAGTATAGAATATTCTTACCGTATCCAACTCCCACTCTTGATTATCATAGAAATCTATTAGTGATAATTTAGGAGAATAGAGAGAATATTTGATGGAATCATTAGAATGGGCCCAGGAACCAAAGAGAAGTTGGCATTGTTGTCTGGAAAGCACTGTATTTTTTCCGAATAAAAAAAGCAAAGAAGGCAAAGGAATTTAGAAAAAAGTCTCAAGAAGATAGTGAACTTACGTATCGAACGGGAAGAACTTCACATCGAGTTTACAGAGACTTTCAGATGAAAAAGGAATATAATAGCGTACATGACCGGTATGATTTACGCGAACGTCGTTGTTTGATTGGAGTTTTACCACATCGTTGAAGTTCAAGCTGTAAATTTTTACAATAAGAATTAAGGAAATTGTGAAAAAATTGGAAACTTGCATACAGTCAAAAGCTATCAAAATTTTTCCTTGAAAAGATAATTTGTAAAAAAACAGGATGCGCATATTGCCGTAGCGTAACTTTTTTGGTTAGAAAAAAAGAGCACGATGACTCTGTATAAACTCAGAATATAATACCGCTTAGAAGACTTGCAACATGTCCGAATCGCAACATTACGCGAGATTACGGCGACTTTGAGACATTCCGTGGACTCCGCGAAATCACGCGAATCACGCAAACTACGCAGCACTGTAACTACTTCCGGAATAAATATATTTCAAATCCGAAAAAAGCATTGCGCTCAGCTCATCAAAGGGAATCTTTAGATGTACAGCGGAATGTCGCAGCGTTCTCGATTCGTAATTTTTAGTATCTGGAAAATTGATTTGGGACCACTGCATCATGGATTCTAATGCATCTTCCAGCGATGATTGAAATTATGTGATCCAACTTACAAAGTGTTTCACATTATCTCTTTATATTCAGACCATTTATCAGCCAATAATCTTTTTCTTCTTCATCATTTTTTTTCTTTCTCATACAATCATCTTTTTCAATTCTCTTTCTTCGGGCCATTCGTTAAAGCGCTCACTTCGTAAGTTGCGCACTTAATTCATTCTTTCTAAATCATGCACCATTCCCCTGCCCCCCTCCCCCTACTTTATTGCAAAATTTTTCCATAATATGTTTTTGCCGGAAGTAATTGTGTGTTGTAAAGTTTTTCGTGATAATCACCTAGCTAGCCAAAACTAATCAATCTTAATTCTTCTTGTTAGCATATTTTTCTCACCTTGGAACGACATACCACGACCTCGAACGAAAACTAATCAACTAATCAAGCGACGATTGTATTCTACTTCATTTGCCTTGACTATTTCGCCACCACAAAACCCGTTCCAAGGTCATTCCGTAAGCGTTCAACCTTGGTTCGGTTTATTTCCTTGCATGAACGTGTTTTGGAAAAATTTAAGAAGCTCTGCACCACTGGTGAATGGCGCAGGTGCAAAGGAGTTTTTGCGTTTTTTTTGTTTCCCAGTTTAAATTCGCTGCTTAAGCATTATTTATAAGAATAATTGTAATGCATTGATTCGTTTTTGTGAAAGGAAAGAATGCGTTTACATATATTGAAAAAGCATAAACCATAGACGCAGACAACGCTGTCGGTTTTAGCTGTCTGCGTATCTCACAATCACGTGCTCTTTTCTGCAGCGCGTCAGCTCGAGGTCATTCGCATGAATGCAGATAATGCGGGGGTTTGCTTCAATTCTTTCTCTCTATAGTTCTTTTGAGTCTTGACACCAATTAAATAAATCATTCTACCATTTACTCGGCGATCTTCTAAATGAGCAAAAAAATTCTAGAGATTCCGTCTCATTTAGCAATCTCAAACTCGAGGCTATCAGCATTTCTTCTTGGGAGATTTTATTGTGATGGAGGAAACAAGGCTTTCACAAATGTCAAAAAAAGCATTGTCGCAAGTGAAGTCAAAGACGCAAACGACGCCTGCGGCTTTAGCTGTCTGCATATCTTATATGCGCGTGCTCTTTTCGGCGGAGCGTCGGCTGGGAGCCGACACAGACTGGACGTAGATTGTGCATTGTCTGAGTAAATTAACTCTTTTACAAAGATTCTTTCAAATATTTATACCAAATAATTAATTTCCAAGTTAGAAAAGCAAAGTTACAAAGTTAAAAATTTTTAACTATGTCAATAATTGGCTGTATTTATGTGCGGAAAAAAATCTAAAAGATCTTTTTCTGTAGTATGGTCAGGAAGCAAAGTCATAGATAGTCACGTATGTTGAAAAGCCACTGTCACTGGCGAGTCAGAGACGCAGACACCGCCTGTAGTTCTAACTGTCTGCGCATCCCATACGTGTATGCTCTTTTCTGGAGAGCAGTTAAAAGCATTTGTGTGCAACTGGGCGCGGATTGTAGTTTTATAAAGTTCTTTTGAGTATTTGAATTGTCAAAAATTATACTATTTAGATCAGTTAAATGAGCAAAAAATACATTTCTTCCTATTTTGAAATTTCAAAGCTGCATTCTGCGACATTCTTCCTCTGAAGCCAAGACAGATTAAGATTGCTTTTTTCACAGTAATAAATAGTCAATCTTTCCCAATCAAACTGATCATCAGCTAGTCATTCGATCTGACGCGTTCGTAGCCAGTGAAAAGCAAATAAATGCAGTTCTGCATCGCTTAGCCACAAAACCAGTTGTAACTTTAGTGTAACGCACACGGAGAAGGAATTGGAAAACGAGCTCTCGTGTCTGTTTTACGGAGAGGTGCTGCTGCTAGTTTTAGAGAGTCCGGCTACTGTATCCTGGCCGATCATTCACACATTCACTTACTTCATGGATCACACATGGATCATTCTTGGATCCATATAAGTCGTATGTCTAGTCCATTTAAGCTCGGATTTGTCCGCAATCACACGCCACTAAATGGATTTTCGCACCTTTTTCAGAGTTTTTTGGATCGTAAATACATTGTCGACCACACACTGTTCGCCATTCTCACAGAATCGTTCTTCATTTCTGCGCATGTTTCGCCATCATCATCTCCTGTAGCAATGTGAAACTGGCTACCAAGCGCTAACGATCAAGAGTGCGCATCCATAGAAACTCATAGCTATAGCTTTATGATACCCTCGTCAAATTGATTAGCCTTGGGAAAGCTAAAGAAATTTCTTCCCACATTTTCGCGTTTTTGGGAAATGTTAGCTGGGAGAGGAGGACTTATATGTATAAGCAACATTTGGAAAACGCTTTCTTGCTCTCTCATCGATCTCTATAGATGAGTTTTTCTACATTTTGAAGCATTTATTTGAAATACTCAGAAAAAAAAGTTTCTTCCTTTTTTCGTACATTCGACCCCTAATTATTTTGTTTGAAAAATTCTACATAATTATTCCCATTATTGTAATGGCAGTTGCTTGAGTCACCTTACCAAGTTCCCCTCACATCGATCAGCCAAGCAATCTTTTGATGGTTTTTCGATCCACTTTCTCTATCGTCTTGAAGAGAATTCTGTTCAAAGATAGCTTCCACATTCTTTGGAAGTTCGCTAATCTATATAATCTTATTTCTTTGGAATCTTTTTTTGCTTCCCTTTAATTCCCAATTTTGCCACTTTTCCTTCCTCTGTTTCGCACTACTTACCTTGGACTTGGAGTTCGTCCACTGCAAATCTCTATTCAATTTTTTCTAACAACCAGCTCACATTTTTTTCTGTAAAATAAGTTGCCAGCATAATTTTGCTACATTCTTCCAATTTTTTTTTACAATTTCTCTTTGCAGAAACTAGACTGCTCATTAAGCGCAATATTTCATTCGTGAAAAAAAGAAAACTAGAAAAAGAATAAAAACTAGATGCCAAAACTGGCTGAGAAGCAAAAAGGATCTTCAACATATTTGCGGGTCAAATCAAGCATGACTGTGATTCCGTCGAGGACGATTGAATTGTGAATCTTAGTTATGCGAAAAAGAAGCGGATGCATTCATCTACACAACGCATTCTCTTATTCCTTATAATTCCAATATCAAGCTTTTATTTCATGAATCTTTGATTTCGCTTTGTACTCTTTTTTCTAATCACGACTCTTTGTAGCACTATGTAACATTTGTTCATGCATAGCATCATGCCAAACACGGTCAGTCATTCCTTTATATCCGAATTGCAATTCGTCATCCATTTTCTTCTTTCTATAAACTCACTGTTTCATTCTTTCATCCATCTTCCCATTTATTTTTTTACTCAGACTAATTCATATTTTCATCTACAAATCGCTAAATAGCTATTTAGCCATCATTTTTCTGCCCGGAACCACTGCTGATGCATTTACTTTTCTTAAAACTCGCTCTAAAAATCACTGCTAGTTACTGTAACCAGGTAGAAAACAAGCGTGATATCATTTATCACAGACGAGATTCTTTCTGCAGGTCATACAGTCATTTCTGATATATTAGCAGCTTCCAAGGTTATAGGATATCTACTACCATAAAACTGTAATGCTCGTACCAGTATTCTCATCATCATTCTTGCTCAAAAACACCGATTTCTCTCAAGCACATTTTAGCAGCAAAATGCAAGACAATTTTTATTTAACTTAGATAGAATTATATTAGGGTGATCCAAAAGTAACGGGGCACCTTGATTTCTTAAACATTCTTTAAGATCTCTTTCTGATTAGCTATGAACAACCAGCGATTTGAACGCTTTTTATAAAGTGACCCTGCAGGCTATTTTGACAGCACCTTGCAGCATCTCACCGACATTCCTTCGAGCGGCGCTTCAAAAAAGTCAGACAGACTTTTTGAACGCCATCCGAATTTGTGCTGCTGCACCTGAAAGTTCCTCGACATATGGCATACTATTCGAAAGAGCTTTCCAAGCTCATTCCAATGATTACTTGAATATTCAAAAATTGCCCATTATTTCATACAAAAGAGGCACTTTATTCGAAAAAGTGCTGTGTTTAGCGCAGATTTTCAGGCTAAAATTCATGTTTTGGCCCATAATTTTTTTGAAAATAAGAAAAGTCGAAGTGATTTGCATATGGATAGAGCGTAAAAAGCACTATCAGAAAGCAACTGACTGTTAAGGTCAAGCTTATTTGAATACCTTGATGAAAGAATGAGTAATGTCTCCTGATACCCAATACTATATCTTCTGTTCTAAAGCTTTGGGACCACCGAGCTATCGTGGATTTGGTGACAGTCCCCTCACCCACTGCTTCGCAGATGTCTTTGAGGCTCACTTCTTCTACTGCGGCCCTGCTGCTCTTAGTTCAAAATTACTTGAAATGATGAGCATTAATTTTAAGCGTTTATAAAAATAACGCCATGTGACAGTGCCCATCTATAGACCTCGATCAGAAGGTTCTATTATATACTAACATCTGCCAAAACTTGGACTTCCAATTAGCTTTTCTATTTGAGCATGCTACATTTATACTCTAGGCGCCCCACTAGTTTTGGATCACCCCAATACTTACTTGTTCCCTCCCATGGAATGAAAAATTGTGAGAACCTCTTCAAATGTCGGAAGCATTGAGAGTGCACTCATATTTGAATTTAATCAATCATATTTTCGACAGATTGCAAAATACTCACCTATAGTAAAGCGAGAATTCTGGTATCCATATGTCTGACGAAGATAGAAAGATTTCTCTTGCTCCTTCATAGCTAGACGGATTCCATTGCAGAAACTCATCAATCCAGTACTGAAAAAAGAATCTTTGCAAAATTTCTTACAACATCGTCACGTTATAATCTGTGATTTTTATTATTGCTGTAGGTCTCGGTTGTTACATGTGGTTGACATTGAATCAATCATACATTCGAATATTGCATCACCAGAGCAGTTCCAAAAAGTTTTTCCACGAAAGTTTTTCTTAGAATGTTGCATTTACATGCCCCTCCGCCAACAGGTTCTCGTCTGGCTTCGAGCACCTGTTTAATTACCGCACATGGCCATGCTAGATTTTTCATTTCCCCCTAACTCAAGTCCAATTACGATTCCATTTTAGCGGCTTTTCAAGCAAGGACACACATGTGGCTGTTGCAGATCTTCGCGATCCTACTTAGCGTCAGATTTGGGTATTCACAAGGAGTAGCTAGCAAAGCTGGTAAGTTTATAGTTTTTTACGACCGTTCCAATCATCGCTTTGACATTGAGAACGAGTTCTTCCTTCTTCTATTTCATGCTGCTATTTCCTTGTAGGAGAGAAAATAAGCAGATACATAGGTATGAGAAGGAAATGGTAAACAGATAAAATGAGAATGGGTAGAACTACGGGATAGAAACTGATATTTTTGGATATGGAAGTTTTGGATTCAAAGTTTTTGGATTTGGAAGTCGCTCATCAACCTTATCTATTTGCTTCAGCTTGTTTCTAGTCGCTTTTATCATATTTTAAATATAAAGTTATTTTGCTTTCAATCAATAAAATCATTCGAAAGCTACTAACAAAAACCCGACTCGAACGTCATCGTCTCGATTTACCACATTAGCTATGGAACAGGTTGAGAAGGCGCTAAGTTAATGGCTAATGGCGAAACTAATAGCAATGCGTTTGAGAAAAAAAACTCAAGGCTATTGCATATACAACAGGGATGACGTTCTTATTTTGAAATATTTTGGATTTTTTTTACAAGCAGTAGGCAGTGGAATAAACTTTCACTGAAAAATAAGATCCAAATTTATTCTCGAATTTTGATATCCCTTATTTTGTGGTGTCTTCCCGAACGTGCACAGTGGGCATGTGTCTTCTAAACAATTTTTTATATTGTACTAACATATGCCCTGGTTCTGTAAAGTGCAAGCATTAAATGCGTTGCCTTGCTCCATAGCAAACAGAGATGAAAATAACCGAAAGGTCATCTTAAAACTGCTTTTTTGACAGCTTCTACTTCATGACGTTTCATGATCTGGCTTGTGCCTAGCTAAAGCGGTTTCAAATGAAAAAATTTTCTGCTGTAAAATTAAAAGCATTATATGCCAAGTCTTAGCGTACGCTGTATGTCTAGGGTGTTTGGAAAGTTGGCCTAATGTGTTTTCGATTCGAATTTTCACTTTTTTGGTTTTTTTGAGCGCTTTTTGTTTCATTTTGCTCATCAAAACATGAAGCGAAGAAATCAGGTTTCTCTATAGTTTCTCTCTTTCTTATTGGGTTGGATGCTTTTCAAAAGAGGAAAACCTTCTTCAAAGAAAATTTCGCACGCCGTCTGAAAGCACTTTTTTAGTTTCTTGCTTGTGCTTTCGTTTGTGAAAATGAGTTCATTTCGAAAGAGCATTCTCAAAACACCCAGCTCCAAAATTTTTGTAATTTTTTTCTGAGGAACTTTTAAAGCCCGCGAAGATCACACTTTGTTCGCAAGCTATTGCACAGCTTTTGTTATATACAAAAAATGCAGATTTAAGGTTTCTGGTGATAGAAAAATGGGATGATACATATTTTACTTTTCCGGCGTTTGAAAAAGTAGAACAAATTAAATGACGCACTTTTCCCTTCTTCAAAGGAAATAATAAATTGGTTACTAGCAAATTTTTTGATGCATCTTCAGGCAAAAAATTTTTCTTTGTTGATCTAGCGATCATATAAAGCACAAACGAGTTCGTAATTCAAGGATCTGACCAGAAACTTTTCAAATACCTTGTATATGAGTTACAAGCCATTGATATTTTTGTTACAAATTCTATAGATTCAATAAACTTTTATACTGGTCGACGTCAATAAGTTCGATTTGACTTTTCGTGAACCCAAAACCTGTTGTAATATATGCATAAGTAGTATCATAACAAAACGATTGAATCAGCTATTGCTTGGAATACAGCCAACATTATGCCTTTCTGAGAACGAGCTACTTTTTCTCGCAATAACCTTGATGTATAATTATCTATACATAACAATGGAAGCTTCCATAAGTGCCGGTTTTGTTGTATTCAAAGAACTTTTAACAATGCCGGTTTTCTAGTTAGGACCCTCCTCTTCCATTCTAGTTCACCATAACCCCTTTTACGGAATTCCTGGCTAAGAATCATTATGTCGAACGACTCGAGCCATTAAGCCACGTTCTGATATGCACTGCTTCCCCTTCCCGAGCTGACTTAGAAGTGAAGCTTAGTGCCGTTCTTAAGAGAAAAAAGATAGCTTCGGGATCCCATTTATTCTGAAGCGTAGACCCCATGACTGGAATGAATAGCAGCATAAACGTCAACGTCGTTTATCAATTTGGTCACAGGGAATAGCTAGAAAAAGCTTTATGGGAAGAACCGGGAACATTGCAGCTGCTAGAAGTGAATGAATGGAAACCAAAACAATAAAGATGACAATGATGACATTTATAAGTGGTTATTTACAGTGATTGACTTCTGCAATCTGAACGATGTAAACAGCTGTGGAGATGGGACGTGTATCTTCCACAGGACGGGAAATCGTTGCAAATGCCCGGATGGTTGGATGGGAAGAAGATGTGCAAGTAAGTTTCTTTTCCTATTTTTAGTCGGTACACCCTCGCTTTCACTTCGTCCTCTTGCTGCTTTTTCGCAACAGAATGAGGAAGCCCTATTTTTACCCCCGAAAAGCCTTTAAGTCCCTAGGTATTCCCGAACGCGGAGATTGACATTTTCACGTGCGAACACTTTGACAAGAACATTGCCTGGAAGTTCCTGGAAAAGACACAAAGATCGCTACTTGCACGAGTTTGACTACCGTAACCTATCGTAATCTTATAGGGCCATGCCAGGATGTCTATCTGAGCTGTAAACGATGGCGAGAAGAAGAGCGATGCTCATGGACCAGACCGATCTCACCATTTTTCACCGATAACTGCGCCTATTCTTGCGGATTCTGCCGCAGTAATGGACAAAGTGAGTTCAGATGTAAATGCACCATTTAATAGACGTACTTTTGGCCAGTTTGAGAATTGTGAGCTAATTCTGAGAAAATGGGCTTGAAGATCACAAAAAATAAGTGGGTCTAGGAATTGCATAGACAAAGTATCTACAGGGTGTCCCAAAAGTCTTTAAGCCTAGTATTTCCTCCGCTGAAAATGCATGAAGCAACATAGACGCATGAAACTCAGCAGGGAATTTGCGAAGAGCCTACAAAATAACATGATACACTCAGATTTCGAAAAACCCTCCTTTGACCTTTACACAGACTCTCACACGCTCGCGGAATGCATGCACTATAGCAGCCAGGTAGTTGACATCAAAACTGTCTCACACCTTCTGAAGCGAGCAATCCAGACTGTCCAAAATTTAGCATAGAATAGAGCAAACCTTGTTTTCCATTACTGATCACAAAGAAAAGTCAAGGGCCTCTTGACCCGGCTATTGAAGGTACGTAAATCTGAGAAGCATATCTGTGAGATTTGACAAAAGTGTCAAAATGTAGCATTCAAGTGCTTGAGAACACCAAGAAAAACACCATTATGGTGTACCGAGAGTGACTTTAAAATGGTATTTCAGTAGGAAATGCACGGCTTACAGCTAGAATTAGTGACTGAAGCTGATTCGGTGCTCGACTTTCCAGCTTTTCCAGGTTTTTGTTTCCGGGAACTTTTTTTTCTCATTGGCACGGCACAACTTCAGTGTTTGTATCCTAATCCTACTCTGATGAACGAAGACTATTGATTGATTTTGCACTGTAAATGTAGAGTGAACCTAGCTTTACAATATGCAGTTTAAAAGTCCACAAGAGCTCCAAAGGCAAAAGAGCTGTAAATATTTGAATAGGAGGTACGTTTCCTTCGGCTCGTCTTCACGATTGTAGCATTGTTTGCTTCAAGAAGTATATCTCGAGAATGTACAATGCAAACGGTATGATTTTCTTGAAGAATATTGGCAACTAGACGAAGAACTCAAAAGCAAAATTTGGCTGAAAAGCGAGGAATACTAACAAAGTTACTACGTTGAAAAGTTAGGCTTAAGGACTTTTGGGACACCCAGTATATGTACCCTAATTTGGAAAAATTTGGTACATTAGTTACTGAAAATTGGATGCTTTTGACATTGATTTTGACACATTCCCACTCGAATCTTTATAATCGATTTATGATAACGGAAACAACCCCTTTTCAAAGTTAAAAATTTGTAAGAGGCTGTGGCCAAAATCCTTAGATGGTCTTCTTCACTTCTCCGACATAATGCCAAATTAATTCTTAGAGAATACTGATTTGAAAGTCGTCTTTGATCGTCAAAATCTCACTTGGATCGAAATGATTTTAGAGCTTCCCCTAGCCTTGCCGCCAATACTAGACAACATTGCCTGGTTTGTTGGCAGATGGGAATGCAAAACTACAGCTGGAGAACGGTAAGCGAATTGCAAAAGTCTAATTCTTAATCGTCAATTTTTTCCGAAATTCTTGATCTAAAAGAGAAATATGATGAACTTCATATTGCAGCATGAGTTTGGAAGTTCGTAACTTCGCGAATCCTAAATGAAAAGCGCTTACGGTTTTAGAGACGATACAATTTTAGAGAGTTTTACAAGACGATACATTTTTGCAAAATTACATTAACTTTGTTTATGAAGAAAACCAATGAACTTTCGTGTCAATCAAAATAAATTCTCCTAATTAATCTAGGAGTATTTATGCACATTTACTTTCTTAATTTATATAATAGACTGTAATCATAGTAATTATTTTGCAGATTCCCTGAGCCACTCATCGGACCTTATCGCGAAGTGTTAGACGTTCAAATTTCCGACGTGCCAATGTTCGACAGACCGCCAGTGAATGTCAGGTTAGTCACCCATAACGTAAAACTCAATTCTCAAGCGCTCGTACTTTCCAAAAATTTTGCTAAATAAAGGCTATTGCGCATGGAGTTCAAAAAAAGTTCACAAAAAAATTCCAAACAGCTTATCCCTTACTGGACTTCACGTTTGTGTAGTCAAAGAAGCAGCATATGGCAGCCCGCATCTCTCAAAGCTTCATCAGCATAATCGCGGAGCACTTTGGAATGGTTGATGTAAGGCTGAGATAGCGCAAAACAAATGACATCATCTAGTCATTGAGCCTATATGGCCATGAAGAGTTAGGACCATCTAGGATTTTTTATTGGACTTGATTTGAGAGTGACGTAATGATTATACATGGAAGAGGTCAGGGGAGGGCTTGAAGACTCAAAGGCCTCGGACATACCTAACGCGATTTCAGTCGCGACGCGATTTGGCAATACTCCAAATGTTCATAACTCATCATACGGGGTTTCCGAATGTACGGAAGATGGGGCATTTTGTCAACCTACGAAAGTTATACATGCTGTGCATTTGGGGTCTACCAGTATTGAATTTGAACACATCTGGCAAATTGCCAGATCGCGTGGCGACTGAAATCGCGTGAGGTATGTCCCTTGCCAAACATAAAAAGTCTGATATTATTTCTATTATTTTATTGATTCCCTGATTTTTTTCAGCACCAAAGCGATAAGCCTCGATGGTAGCGATATTCACAGCGAGGTTGGCTTCATGACCAGCAAACCTTTCCTAGAAGATACTGGCTTTGTCGAATTCGACAAGCCCGAGAAAGGAGATGACTTGGTAGCCATTGAAACTGTCGGAAATAATGGTAAGTTTAATTTTTTGTTTGTCTTTTTGCTCTCTCTCTCTCTCTCTCTCTCTCTCTCTCTATGAATGAAAAAAATTCTACAACAAGAGCTACGGTTTAAGAAATTCATGAAAAAAAGGATGAGTGGAGAGCGAAAAAATCAAAAATCTCAACCGTAAATCGGAAGTGATTTTTAGGTAAAAAGTAAATCTTTGAGGGATGAAAATCGTACTCAGTAACACCAGTGTAATTCTATGTCAAATCCATAAATCAACGGTAATTCCTTAAAAGAATGCAAGAAAATCCTGTACGTTTCTGCAGTTCCTTGTAAACCTACAAACTTATATCTAGCAGAATTAAATTCGTTTTGACGTCGCAACCAAGTTTTCCATTTCCAAATTTAGTAAAATCAATGAAAGCAGCTTTTGGTCACGGAAAGTTTCCTTATTTCATTTTGTTGCTGAAGAAAACATGCCCTGGAAGACCTCGCTCGCTCCAAAACGTCCAAAATCGGTTTTGCCCCTGACAAATCTCCTCGTCATCCTTTAGCAGATAGTGTGTACTATGACGTTGACAAGCTAAAAAGGTTGGACTGCGAAACTTCTCTCCCCCCCCCCTCCTCACCAATTTTGACTTTGCCCTAAGCAAAAGCTGAGATTTTGAAAGCAATAGTGTCAGAATGTCATATATGCGTCAAGCGAGCGCGCCGGATAGCCCCATGGGTAAGAGAGGTAAAGAGGGCAAATCCCATATCGGTTGAGAAAAACAATAGTTTTGGAGCTGATAGGAATGCACAGCTACGAAAAATAAAAAGGGAACAAGGAATATTGGAAGTTTAACCAAAAAAGAAAGTTTTTGCATGATTTGACTGTCTCTTGTGCAATTGCACGATATCGCAAACGCCGCAAATGATTTTTGTGCGGGAAATTTGAACCTGTTTTTTGAAACGTGACTTTCACTATTTTTGCGCAATTCATGTCTATTTTAGTCACAAAGCATTGTTTCTGAACGGAAGCCTCCCGCACTTCCTGCCCTAATTTGTCACGAATACCCGATAAACTATGCCCTGCACTCTTCTCGGCCCCCACTTTGACTCCCCCCCCACTCTCTCTCCCCCCCCCCCCGCCCCGAGAAATCCGTTTAGGATCGCTCTCTTGCTATACGTAGTTTATGCGATTTCAACCGGAGGTGCCATGCTCGTAGGGCGAAAACATATAATTGTCATGGGCCGCTGAGACAAATATCCCCGTAGCGACCCGGCGGGTCGTCGACATCGTTTCCTTCTTTCTCGTATTGCCCCCCCCCCACCCCCACCCCCTGCTTTCGTCGATGCCGACAAACTGAGCCAATCAACATGGTGGCTTAACACAAGACCCGCGCTACGCAAAATAGCAGTGTTGAATAGCAGACTTAAAGTATTTGAGACGCGCATAAATCGTCTCTTAAGCTGAGTCATCAAATGGGCTGATCGAAAAAATATTTAGATTGTTTACAAAAATCTAGAAGTTTAGATTTAGAAGTTTAGAAGTTCCCGTTGAAATAGCGTTAAAGAAGGCCTCTCAATGTTGAAGATTGTGGAATTAGTACAGTATTGAAAACCACACCATACCAAACAAATTCATAGATTCACAAATTCATTAAAATGGGGACCAGTTTTCGCACAATAGCCTTTGAGCTTTGGAAAGGGATAGAAAATAGGAATGTTTCTTCTGTTGACAAGGCAATCATGAATGAAGAGATTGGGAGAAGCAAAACGGTATAAAAATCTTGGGAGTAATGGAACATTACCTATGGGGACCAGTTCTCGCACGACATCAATAGCATCAGGGTAAAAACTGAGGATAAGTTTTCCGTTTTTCTGGAATGTTAAGTAAAACGAGAATTAGCCAAATGATGAACAGTAGAGCAAGAGAATAACGAAATGCTACTGTTGGGGACCAGTTCTCGCAGAAAATAGCATCTCGTAATATTTGGCAAAAAAGGGGATGCTCCTAACTTCAATCGGTGGGTAACGAAAAAGACATAAAAACTTTGCAACCTGTCAACTTTCGATTTGATTTTTGCTTTTTTATTTCTGTAATTTCCATGTTTTGAGTCTATATTTAGCGTTTTTTAATAAAACCAAGCTAAGAATTGAATCGAGTTTTTCATGTTTCTAATTTTTTTGGTTGTTGTAGTTTTTTTACTATTTCTTCTATAATGACCTCTAGCTCCCCTACCCCCTTCTTCCCCTCCAAATTACTAAATGATACTTTCAGGCCTCCAAATTATCGAAGAAGGAGTGGTCCGAGGCAACACTATCAGACTCGAGCAGAAATTCAAACGATCCTTTTTTGGTCCTGGCCATGGCCCAAGAGCTGTGAGCATTTCGCGCTTTTCGCAACGTTTCCTCGCTTTTTCCACCAAAATGATGTATTTCCCTGAACTTTTGCAGGCTAAACGAATGTTCGTGTTAGTGAGACCGGACGTTATGGAAGAGCGCGTTATCATCACCGATTCCCATGGGGTCACGAAGAAATGGCTCAAAAGGTGAAATTGCGTCGTACTTTTTACTGCCAGAGAGCCAGCGAGTTCAAAGCTTAATTTGGGCATTTTTAGGTACAAGCGAACATTCAACTACTTGACCGAATTTGTACGAGATGTAGGAAGAAAATAACTGCCCATCTATTGCTAATTGTATAGTTGAAATCTGTATTGATAGCGTACTTACCAGTTCGAAACTCCCGGAAAGGCTGATCGTATTTTTGACGGCATCCTGAAAAAAATTGAACAAAACTTGCCATTTCTATTCGGGTACTTGCACTTAGCGGTGTGAAATTATTTCGATGCACTTGTCAGTCTCGCGGGAATTACCAACTCTTATAAAAACGTTTCTGGGAAATGTAAATCCACAAATGCAAAATCAATAAATATGGACTTGTAAAGCTATTTTGCTTAGGGCAGTTTTTATATGCAGAATATTGGGAAAAGTACAAATATGTCAAGTAAAAACCGTTATTTAGAAAATCCTGCTCAACATTATCATTTAGAAAAGTCAAATCTTCAAAATTCCGATGAATTACCAGCAGTAAAACGCAGTAACTTTTTCAAAAACGTTTATTACATATAGAAAAGAAATTCCCGTTTCAAAATAAAAATTGTCCAAAAATCGGTAGCAATGGTAACCCAGTGATTGTGTCAGGCTATATAAATTTCGAGATAAGTTCCACTTCCATTCTATTTACTCCCAAATGGTCCTCTTCCTCCCTCCCCTCCCCTATCCTGCCTTCATGTTTCGAAAATGTACTGCTAATAAATAAACTTACCAGTTTCACTATTTGGTAGAGAAACACGCTCATCGAAACGGAAACAATTTTGTTCGGGTGAGTGACTGGTCGTGTGCCTTTCCTGGAAACATGAGACATATAGTAATAAACAACAATAAAAATGGAAAAGGTGTTGCAAACATTAGATTCGCTTCTAGAATTTCAAATTATTACGGTAGGATTACTGTAGATGAGTATATCGAAGCATTAAAGCTACAAAAGTGTCTAACACTGAGTTAGTGAGGGTATTTGAAAACCGCGTTTGCATATTCGCGACCATCACCAAGTCATTTACCGTGACTCCACGGTATATCTACAGTGCAGATTTCAAAAAATTTCAAAAGAAAGCCATTGTTTGCTCTTAACGTAATCCTACGGCACTCCTACACTACCGATTACATAAAATACTAGAGGAGGGAGCCATTATTTATGCCTACCGTAATTCTACCGTATGCCTACACTGTGAAATCTCGGAAAATGCAGAAAAGACACTTTGGGTTTCTACTCATTTGTACGAATGATTTGTATGAACAAGATGGTAATCCAATTGAATTCGCTTTTGAATGCATTCAATGCATTTAGTTATTTATTTGGGTATCGCAATTAATTCGCGAATTGCGCAGGACTTAAGCAGGTCCTACAGCCGAAATTTAACGTGAGTTAGGGTACAAGGTTCTTCACGCAGCCATCCAGTAGCAATAAAAAAATGTGTCTTCTTTAGAGTGACGGTTTATGACGACTTATAAGCTCTTTACATTTTACTGACACAGAAAGACGCTGATTGGTCCGCTTAAGAATGATTACGGTACTGGCAACGGTTTAGAGCCAAATTTCTAAGTCACGAATGAATCCAATGATCTGTCACTTGGTCAATGGCTCAGTTAAGGTTTAATCATTTTTCCATGAATTCGCCAGGTATCCATATTTGCCTCTACTCTACGTTTTCCATCAAAAAACATTGCCTTCTTTTATGTTAGTGCTGCAACCCCGTGGGCATTAACGAAGCCCCCAAATCAACACCGTGCGTCTCCCGTTTGTTTTTCGTGGCTGTTTGCCTAGAAGATATCCTCAAATCCGCTAAAAAGGTGTCTATAGTGTCTTTTGTTGATGGCACCGGGACAAAACACACGCAAAGGGAAAGCTCTCGAAGATCGCTTTGTATTGTCGTCAACGTCGTCGCAGTGGCGCCCATCACCCCCGTCCCCCGGGGACGGTGCAAATGGACCCATTTGAAACACTTCTGCCAACACTACAAGCGCTCAATGCAAATCCTATTTCTTAGAGGCGCAGCGTTCGCATCTGCGGGGAAAACAAAGAGAGCTAGTGCAATATAGTCTACAGCAATAGAATTACAATAACACTTAGCTGCAAATTATCCTTAGGGTTTTCGAACGTCTCTTTTTGATTTTCCATTTGGTGACAATTTGAGTTCAATTAAAAATGTAAAAGCCTGAATCAAAATGGACTTATTGAAAAAAGGAACAGTCAATTAATTGCTTTGCAAATAATTTCTGACTAGTGACAGTAATCTAAAGGTGTTAGATTTGCAGGAGCGTTCGCTGCGGGAGCCGCGCGGTTTCCCGCAATTTTATCTTTTTTGAATAGGCACACGATTCTTTGTATATAGATAGACTTTCAATTGCCCAAAATATAAGGTTGCCTGAAATCCAACGGTCAATTCTCACAACTGAACCCGCCAAACCTCGGTGAAATTAGCCTGAACTTTGACTATTTTGTCGTGACAAATGGAAAATTTTTGACTTTTAAGATGATCGGAATTATTTTTTGCCAGAGTTTATATACTTGATTTCAGCATCGCTAGTAAAAACTCGTCCCAATTCGTTTCATTCAAATTATTGGAGCGTAAAGATAAGACCGCTAACCGCAATAACTTTCCTCACTAGCAATGGCTGCATATAATAAACCATTCTTTCAGATTTAAGCCACTTCATGATTTTTTTAATTTTTTGTAAACTGTCTATCGGTATGATATCCGAGGAACATGAGGCAGCTACAGAGAGCGAGATGAAAATTTGATTCTGAGAAGGCAAAAAAAATTGAAGAATGACTGACACAAATGTCATATCAGTTAAAATGCTATTTACCATATAACACGGATTTTCAAAATATGCTGCAAATGACCCAAGCTGAAGGGTCGTCCTTCAAAATTTTATCAACAGAAATGTTGTACCTAAATATTTCTACCAATACGAAGAAGATAGCGCAAAGAACACCAATAGAGGAGCAAATCCAAAACCGTTTGGGCTAATTCGCAATACATGACTTTCGCAGTGTCGTATTTTTTGTGAACCTCAGAGATTAGAAACCCATATTCTATAGACTAGCTTATGCATCATCGAAAAAGGGGGACACCATTTGTCTTCCAAAATCTAATTTTATTGGGCGCTCGGGAGTATTGAACCCCATATCTTGGTGAAACGAATGGTCATTTCTGCAGAAGATCTCGTTTGGAATTTGACATAACAGCTCTGCACTCGTACACCAATTAATATAAAAGCAATAACTATAGTTTTATTAATTATAATTGACAAAAATAGAGCATCATTGAGACACCTACTTTTCACTCAAAACTATTTTTATTCATGTCTGATAGTAATTTTTGAGTCCCAAAAGCCCGCTAAAGGTCAACTTTGTCAATCTTAGTCACAAATGTAAACAAGTACCCACAACGCGAGTACAGAGTCACCCGGACAATGTCTGGAAAAGAGTAGTTCCCTTGAGAAATGTCGAACCACTAAACATATGCACTATCCAATCAGAATTCTCGATAAGTTTTCATAGATCATTTTGGAAATTTCACCACTCCCAGCGCATTTCGCTTTCCTTCTCCTAGTAATTTTCCCCAATCGAGCATAGATCAGTTAAATGCGTATAGGGTGAGTCGTCAGAGCCTAATGCCCTCAAATTACCCTCACACTCAGCATGTTCATAAATGCTCTGCACGGCACGGCTCTCTTATTCTCGAGTTAAGTAGTTCGCGCAAAGTGCCCTAGCTCATTCTTCGCAAAGCTGCTATTGAAAGTGATCGAAGTATATAAAAAAAATCAAACTTCTCCGGAAATTCCGAAAAAAACACTCAAAGTCCGCCGGAAATTCCGAAAAATGATGAAAATCTCCGGAAACTTCCGAAGAAATACTCACCTATAGTATCTTAACAAATCGTCATGTAGACGATATGTAACAGGAATGTCCGATCTCCTTAGAGTTTTGAAATTTTCCGGTAATAGATAGTCATTCCGTCCGAAAGCTCGACGCATGCGCTCTGCGGGTAACTCGTCCAGATCCTCGACCGAGTTGTCTGATGGTGGGTCAGGGTTTGGATTTGGGTGATGAGCCTGTCGGATTTTCCTTGGACTTCCATCGGTGGAGTGAAACCGGCGCGGATTTCGTGAACTTCGATGCACAAGCTGAAAAATTGTTGTCTGGTTGAAGACACCTCTATATACCACCTTTGATCTGAAGGCTATTATAAATGGAGGACATGAAACAGAAAATTTAAGTCATAATTATTAACTTTTATTGGATGTTTTTCATGCAAATAAGTGGTCATGCTTTGCCAAAAGTATGCAAAATTCCACTAGATCGATATTGAAAAAATTACAGAAATTATAGAAATTTGGCTTATCACAAAACTGATCTCAGAAATCTCAAAAAAACTCATCTCTAGGTCAAGAACATAAAAATAAAAACAACTCAAAAGTTGACCAAATTTGTGAAGACATCAAATAAAAAACATAAGGCTGTTTGTTTTCTTATGCAGAGTAACTGGGCTCAACTCAAATGCTCGAAAATGATGACAATATTGATTTTGAGTTCGAACCGACATTGAAATTTGGCCAACTTCCAAAATATTGAAATTTCTGAATAGAAATTATCCTGACATTCCCGTTTCAAAGCCACTTTAACATACCAAACATAAGCTCCTTTTTGATGCTTGTAGCTTGCTCTCTACAGAACACGATAGAGCTACTTTTTAGAAGCTCCCGTGTAATGTATATTGTACAAAAAACCCGTGGAGGAGAGGGGGGGGGGGAATTTCCTAAACAAAGCTAATCCTTTTAAGTGGCTGAGGATTTAGTAAATGTCAGCTAAACCACATACCACATAGGAATAGAACTTTGTTGCTACGAAAACAACAGAATATACCCTAACGACAAAAGTTCTGGAGGAGGTTACGGTAATACTACGGTAACCTCCAAAAATGATATGTATAGAATTCTTCTTCCAAGAAATTCTAGACTTAACTTATTCAGCAAAGCCTCCCTATAACTCGCACTTGCCCTCTCAACTCCCTTCTAGTTTTTACATCAAATCTATAAAACCACTAAATTTTCCCGATCGCATATCTTAATTCCCCGAGGATGTCTTAACAAATATCTTCCGTGCGGGCACGTCTTCCCGCGCAGACGAGCATGATATGCATCTCCAAGTTCGTTTTGACATCATAGTGATGTCATTTCTCTTCCGAAACAATCTCATCTTTTGAATAACAATGTTATGCGAATTCAAGAAAACTTCCACAACTGGTTCCGGGTTGGGAGAGAGCTTGCGCTGTTGCTTTGGAGCTAATTGGTTCGGGCCCGGCC